TTTTTTTACATTTTGTGTTTAACATAAAATTTGTTATTTAATATATATATATAGATTTTTCTTTCTATTATTTTATGATTATATATATATATATTCTTTAGTAGCATGTTTTAATTTTTCAAGAAATTGTATTTTGTTATGATAATTACAAAATTAAATCATAATATTTAATAAAATCTAAATATTGTTATCTTAAATTATTACTAGTCTTTATAACCTTTCCCCATAGGATAAGGTACAAAATCCCTGGTGCTCCGGCCTTGCCTCGGCCCAGGGTGGACCAACTCATTTGGTTCTTGTAAAGTGAGGCTGATTTATATTAGTTTGGCTTACAATTTATACAATAATAAAACCTAATATCTCGCAAACTAATTCAATTTATTATTAATTCAGCTTTAACAATTATTTATACATTAAAATATGTCAAATCAATAATAGCATTTTCACCATATTTCTTATCCATAAGTTCAACGGCGTTGTTATGAAATATAGTTGTGAATATTTTTCTGAATGCTAAAAAAAAAAAGAAAAAAATATTGATTAATAAAATTAATTTATTAAAAATAACTAGATTTCAGTTTTTTATTTAATGCATAGAACAATTCAACTTTAAAATTAATAAAATAACTTTATATCAGCTATAATTTTTTCGAAAATCATTATAAGTTATAACGATTATCAAATTTAAATGCTGCCAAAAAGATTTTCTGATGAGAAAATTTGTTTTTATAATATCATTATTATTATAGTATTATTCTATTTGCTAGCATACTCGCATATGTATAAAAATCTAAGAAAAACATGTTATATTTTACAAAAATAAATTATATGAAAATGTATGATGAGCATGCATTATTATAATTAAATAGAAGAAAAAAGGGTAAGGTTTAAAAATAATGTTTATTTTTTGCGGTTATATTTGAGTAATAATATTCGTTAAAATAAATTTAAAAGTAATAACTTTTCCAAACGTGTTCATCTCTTAAAAAAATAAATTGGGTAACGAATCAAAAATTATCCTATAAATATATTATGAATATCAGATGAAATTAAAAGACAATAAGATGAAGTCAAAACTTGAAATTTCATGACGCTTGATGGCACATAGGAATCATTTGCCAATGGTTCCATTTGGTGGGTTATAAATAAATTCAGTAAATGGAGAGGCCATCCATCTTTTCGACGACGGACTAACTATCGATCTTGGAGTTCAAAAAAACTTTTTGAAAGATAATACCTTCCATAAGAAGTAAAAGTCTAAATATTATACGTAATATATATTTTACCTTCCATACCAATACGTTGTGCGCCTTTATCTTCCATAATAATACGTTCTGGGACTTTATCGTTAACATGAGACACTAATTCAATAACATTGTCTTCAGTGAATTGGATATGTAATGATCTAAGAACTATTATTAATTCTTTTAAAGTTATCATAATTTGTCCTTTCGAAACCATTTTAAAACGCTTTTCAATAGAATTTTCTAATTGAATGATACGCTTCGTCGCTAGTTTCTTAAATTGTTCAAAATTCATAAATTCGTCTTCTAATATGATAAAAACAACGTGTTAATTAATTTTTGTATAAAAGTAAAATGTTAATAATAGCAATAATTTCATTCATAACTTTCACTGACCGACATTTATATGTCACTTAATGTTATTAATTTTATTAATATTATTAATAATAATTTATACATGAAATAGTTTTTTATATTATTTGAAAATCAAATAATACTTGCTAAATCTCTTTAATTATATACGAAGTATTAGAGCTGTTTGAAATGAATATATCAAAACATTTTATTTCACAAATATTCATAGAAAGCACACCTAAAATTTACCAAATATTTATATTGAAATATATTTAGAATTATTAATTATTTATTTCCAACACAATTAGTTTTATGAACAAAATATATGTCGCTTTTTTGGGAATATCTCGATTTCGTAACTAGCAAAAATAAATGTTTTCACTAGAGACGTATTTAGAGTTTTGACAACCCGGGTTAAGTCTTATTACCACCCCTACAAACCCCCATTTTGATATATTATAGCTACGGAAAAATGCTGTCATCCCTAAATATGTCCCTGGTTTTCACGAGTAACCTAAGTGTACTCAATTTATATAGAGTTAACTAGAGTGACAGTAAAAGGTTCTACTGCCTTACAAACATAATATATACAGGGTGATTTTTTTATCATAACCCACTCAATTACTTGCAGAATAATAATAATTTAAACATTTTTTTTTTTTCATTATCTTTAGTTACACATTATTCTTGAATTTTTAACTATGTAATACTTTTTAAGTTCATCCCTTATGCCTTGGAAGGGGGTCAACTTTGTTTTTTTAAATGGTAACACATATTTTTAATTTAATAAAATGTTTGAGTTTTTAATTTAATAGTAAATGGCATTTGAATTTTTAATATAACTTTATTAGCTTATTAGATATAAACATTTAAAGTTTCAAAATTTTGAGTTAATATACATGTATAATACACATGGGATTGTAAATACAGATAGCTAATTGCTTTTTTATTACATCGATATTAGCAGGTACACAGCATTGTTATTATCAATTGTAGTAAGGCACATTGTTATGAGTTTATAAATACACTAACTGACAATACAGAAAGTATATCTATTGATAATCATAATTGATAATAAACAATCCGTGACTGAGACAGCAATGTCATAAAAATCCAATTAGCTACCTGTATTTACAATCCCATGTGTATTATACATGTATATTAACTCAAAATTTTGAAACTTTAAATGTTTATATCTAATAAGCTAATGAAGTTATATTAAAAATTCAAATGCCATTTACTATAAAATTAAAAACTTAAACATTTTATTAAATTAAAGATATGTGTTACCATTTAAAAAAACAAACTTGACCCCCCTCCAAGGCATAAGGGATGAACTTAAAAGTATTACATAGTTAAAAATTCAAGAATAATGTGTAACTAAAGATAATAAAAAAAAAAAAATGTTTTAATTATTATTATTCTGCAAGTAATTGAGTGGGTTATGATAAAAAAATCACCCTGTATATATATACAATGTATATTATACATACTATATATATTATATTTATATTAATTATTTGTAAATGTTTATTAATTGATTTTCTATATAATTTATATAGAAAATAAACTGTAATCTATTATATCAATTTTTTTTTAAATATATAACATTATTTATTGAAGATTCATAAATAAAAACGACTTGAAATCTTAAATTTTCGTTGAAACGTGTGTATTTATCGAACAGCTATTTATTTTTATTCGTGTTATCACACTTGTTTATTAGCATATAAGTTATAAAGCGGCGTATTAAGGGATCCATGACTTCCGATCAAAATAAATTCAAACATTCCTCGAATGAAATAAGCTGAGATTAACTTAGTCTGTTATGACTTTGTTTGAAATGTTTTGATATTTTATTGCGGTGTCAGACAAGTTAATGATTTTTGAGAGTTTATATTGTTTTTCCTGTTAGTTTTCTTTTTTCGTCGTAGTTTAACGTTTGTTAAAGAGCAATCCTTTGCTAAAATATAAGTATTGAAGAATAAAGTTTCTTCTATTGGCTTATTAAATATAATTTTATGAATTTACTTTTCTCTATTTGGTCCATTTTAGGGAAAATTGAAACATAATAGGTTTATTATAGCCACACTGTATGGTGACTTATTTCTGGTGAATTTTTTTATCTGTTAATGATTTAAGTATTTCATAAAATAAAAGCGTAGCTTCATGATGAATTTTATTCAGTAATAATATTGTTACTTAAAAATTATTTGTTTCTATGGCTTCTATGGTTTTTTATAAGATTCAACTTTATTTAAAATACTAAAGTTTTCCAGTAACTGGTTTCAAAAGTATCACTTTAAATAACAAATATTTTCCAAAACATTTATAAATTCGCGTTAGAATATATTCATTTTATCTCTAATTATTTTATCTTATAATAGAACAAAAAAAAACCTTTTCTAGGAAAATTACTTAGCGTGCTTCGATTTTCAACATTTTTTTTTTCAACGAAAGTATCTGGTTATGAGACTCCGGGAAAATTATTGGCGAAGATCAGAAAATTTTCGACGCTAGACCACTTCTGTTTTAAAACTGACGTTTTTGAGAAAAACGATCGCTGATGCTACGTTTTATGACTTAAGGTTTAAAATTTTCACCAGACCCACCCAACAACATTTTTTGAGTTATCATAAAAAAAATTAACTGAATCCGTTCATTTTTTACCTTTTTACGAGCTTTTTTTTTTAAATCCATGCACGTGTTTTTGATAAGAATATTGTGTTAATTTTGGGTAAATATAAATTTTGACTTTGAATTTGTAAAAAATTAATTTTTAAGTCATATTTAAATATGTTATAGTTATCATATATGAATTGATTTGGTTATATTATTAACTAACTTATGTTAGTTATTTTTATATTTTATGTTTGGTTTAATACATATAAAGATACTTTCTGTCAATTTATAATATAGATTAATAAATAATTTAGAACGAATTTAATGGAAAAATATAAATATTATATTAAAATTATATTGCTTGTAACAAATTAAGAATTAATATGCATAAATCAACATTGCATGTATTTAAACCGTAAACAATGTGAGATAAAACGTTACATCAAAAAATAGGCAAATATATTATTTCACAGTTTTATATAATATATCTATAATAGTTAATAATTTATAATAGTATTTGTTGAAAATAAAATTTAACTTGAAAATTTTAATTAGATATTTACTTACTGCTTATATTTTCATCCTTGAATAGTTTTTGAATTTCATTATTATTTATTTTGTGTACCCAATTAAAAGCATTCAATATCATTGTACATTTTTTACAGCCCATACCTTCTTCTTTTGTTAGATATAAAAAAAATTTCTTCAAAGCAGACGATGCTGAATTAGTTAATTCCATATTCTGAAATAAATTATATAACATTAGAAGTAATAATAATATTTCCATAAATTATTTAGATATAATTATAAAAACTCAGCAAAGTGGGGTCACAATACAATAGGGACGTGGCTTGTTGAAAAAAGTATGGGTGATATCTGACAATGATTAAAATCACTTTTATAAAAAACTCTCCGGCACAAATCTGTATATACTGTTTAAGTTTAAGAAGAATTTGTTAAATTACTATTACTTCTTAAATGTATGCACTTTAAGGGTTTCTTAAAATTTCAACTTAATTTAAAATAGCAAAGTTTTCCATAAATTTGTTATAAAAATATCACTTTTAACCCATTAGATATTTCCTAAAAAAATTAGGTTTTGCATTAGAATCTATTTATTTTATTTAAGGTAAAAAAATCCAGAACTTCAATAGTGAATACTGAAAGAAGTTATAGAATATTAGAAATAAGTATTTTTAAATATCTTATGCCTATTAACGCAGATTTTAAGTTTTAATAATGTAAGTATCCATGAATATTATGTTTGCTTAAATCAATTTTTTAATATTGATTTGTAGTACTGTTTTTAGTAAAAAACAATCGTTGGTGTAATTTAAAATTACGCCACCCAAAAAAAGTCGTGACTTAGATGAATACTATAATTAAATTAGAAGCACGGCTCCGGTTAATTAGAATCGGGTGTATTTTAAGTCTTGTATGCATTATAACAGTATTTATTTATACTTGTCTAATAATATTTAAAATATAAAAAATTATGATAATTTTAAAAGAATTTAAAGAAAAATATAAATATTATAATAAAATTGAATTGCTTGTAATAAAATAAGCATGAATATCCATAAATAATGGTTACATCTTATATATAAAATTCTCGTGTCACAGTGTTTGTTACCATACTGCTCCAAACCCGATTTTAATGAAATTTCGAATGACATATTGTAGGTCTGCGAATAAGTTTTTATCTATTTTTTTTATATAAAAGAGTAGAGTCTGTTTGCCTATGTGTCTGTCTGTCCGCTATAAAATCCTAGACCGTTTCACCGATCGGGAATAAATTCAGCACGGTTAATATTAACGACCTGAGAAACTCAATGCCGCAAAAATGAAAGTTGTATCCTAATTATTTTTTTCTTAATTAATTTTTAACCAATTTTTTGAACATTTTTTCCAACTCTTGCGTCGTCAATCCTTACACACTTACAATAAGTTAATTATTTTTTTCAAGCAAAATATTCTCTAGAAATAATTTATATGACAAAACAACGTTCGTTGGGTGAACTCGTATATTTATAAGTTTTAAAGCGTAAACAAGGCATAATAAGATCTCATATTTAAATTTTATATCAAAATGTTATATCTATTTCGTTGAAAAAAACAGCAAAAAAATATACATTTATTACATTAAATGTTAATTAATAGGGAACAAAAATATTCAATTAAGTGCAACATTTTTTTTATGTCCTAAACAAAATAAAATTGAAATTTCTATTATTAAGTAAATTAAATAACGACAATGATGTTTCAAATTTGTTAAAATGTTATCATTAAAACAAGAACAGGAACGTTAAATATAAATATTTTAGTAATAAATAAAAAAATAGTTTCATAATGATGAAAAGTGCCATCCTTCTATTTGACAACAGATATACATTACCTGAAATATGCTAAAATAAATAAAATATAAAAATAATATATTAAATTATATAGTGTGTTCTCTGAAAATCTAAGTGTTGTCCTGTGTTATAAACGTGTGAATTTAATTAATTTCAATTTTGAGATTTTTTTACATATTTTTTTTCACTAGAAAAGATTCTTATTTGGCCTAAAAAAATGTTTAATACAATAAGAAAAAACCTTAATTCTAGTATTTTCTTCAGTGAATTTTATTTATATCACCACACAATTATTTGATTAATTATATATAATTATTTATAATACAATAATTATTTTAAAATCAAATCATAAAATTTTATGTAAAAGCTCTTCAGTCGGGACATTGCCGTGTTGCACCTGTGTTACTGCCACAGTGTAGTTGAGTAATATTAATCCAATGAGAGCTATTAAAATGTGCAAATCGATACACGAAAATAAACTAATAAAATATAAATAATTAAAACAAATAATAAAAATAACCTTCTCAGCTTCGCGTCAAAGCTAAAACCTATATTCCTGCTATTATTAAAAAAAACCAGTATAGTGGGAATAAGTATGGTTGATATAGATGTAAGTATAAGTTTTTTTTAATTTATCACTTTTACCTTATAAAGGTATCAACTTTATTATTTAAAATGGCAAAAAAACATGTTTAACTTGCTAATTAGAAAAAAATTTTATGGTGATTAAAACTGTGACACATTGAGGTCGCGGCACAGTTTAATTCAACTTCGCCGGCTATTTGCACATAGAAGATAAGTTGTCAGTATCATATAAGTTTTTTGAGACGTTTGAAACTCGAAATGTTTTCAAAATATTTCAAAACTGAAATTAAAAAAGTTAACTATTTATGCAATAGTTACCATTTTGAACTCCATACTGTGGGCAGATAAAGGGTCAGAACTTAAATATTTCTTTTTTATTGTATGTATTATATTTTATATATTTATTAAAATATTATAATTATAAATCATTAAACTTGTAATCAATATAAATAAGGAAATAATAGTTCACGTTGTTTTGGAATAATTTAATAATTCCTTCTAAAAATTAAATACTATCTACAGATATGATCGAAGTGCTTTTAACGATAGTGACTTTAATCTCTGTCAGTTATCATCTATACTTGTTCTAACTATGCCACGTCTCAACTGGGTTTTTTTTAACCCAAGAATCATTCAAATCAGACATAGATATTGTTCGCCTACAGGCTTTTAAATATCGGTTGGCCTGATTGACTTAGGAAGCGAATAAAAGGAAGTCCTATAAATTATTAATTAAAGAAACTCAAATGGAAATTGTCTATAATAACAACATTAATGTAATTAATAATAAAATTTATAGTTGGGCGTCCCTACTTACATTACTAATAACAACTAAATATTATAATGCAACAAAATGAGTACAAGTATAAGATTTTTAAGTATCGTTGAATTCGATAACGTGACCTGGTCATAACATCAATAATCGGATTATAACTGGTATATTCAACCAACTTCAACCGTTTGAATGAAAAAAAAAACACGAACTCGATTATATAATCGATCAGCCACAGGGTAAATCCACCGAATTCACATATATATAATATAATGTACATTACAATACCGCAAAGTCGCGGAAAAAACTCGTGGCGGTGCCGATGGGTCTAATCAACTAGACAGTACAATGGTTGACTGACCAGATAAGGCGACGACTTATCGGACAGTGAACGGCATCTCCACTACTATATGTAACCGGTTCATTTGGGTTGTTAGTTGAACGCGGCCACTTATAACTCGCCGCAACAGATATATAAAAAAAAATGTTACCATAATAAAACAATTGGTACTGTATCTAAATAAATGACTGTATTTATACAGTTATTAAAGATTTCCATGAAATATTGCTCTCGAATAAAATTTGAATAGCAAATTTTTTTATATAATAGGGAACTTTGATGCGTGGTATAGCTGAATGATTTTAATACTAAAAAGTTTTTTTTTGGAAAATCATATATCTAAGTAAGATAGCATAAAAAATAATGTCTGAATAAACAAATTAATTTTTCTAAAAATTAAATGACATCTATTTACCTCTTTCAAAGGATAAGAAGTGAAAATAAATCCATTTGAAAAACTACTGGCAATATAAATAATAATTAAAATGTAATAATACATTTTTGGTTCGATAATGTGCGTTTTCGAATAAAACTGATAACTAAAACTGTTGAAATAAGAGATTAATTGAAATTCTATTCATTTTATAACAATACTATGTTTTTTTAGTGTCGAAATATCCATTTTATGTATTTTTAAAATAACAAAATTAATGCGTTTAATAAATTTATTTTTGTTGTAAATATTTAATATTACTATTAATACAAACATTTTATTTATTGATGACAGGTACAAAACCTTAGTATTTTATATAATAATTTTATCGTCATAATTATACTCAAAATACTAATAAGTAGGGGAGACCGGGGTCAAAAGTAACATTTTGGACTTTATACTATTTTTTGGAATAAATATTATTTATTTTTGGCTTTTAACACAGCCATTCTATAGAGGAACATATTTACTATTAAATAACACCAAATTAAGTATTTAAAAGTTAATTTAAAGTATAGATTTTTTTGATAAAAAAAAAAAAATAAACTGTTACAATTGACCCCAACATAGAGTCAATTGTAACACACCTTGGGGTCAAATGTTACACACCATTTAATTTCATTTTCAACTAATAAAACTGATAAAATTATTATTTTTTTAACAAAACATACATTTTTTACTTATATTATAGAAACAGAATTGTAAAGTATCATAAAAAATAAATAATGTGACAAAACTTAATACTTATATAACAATCAGTCTCAAATGTTTCTTATTTTTTTAACAAAACATACATTTTTTACTTTAACACATTCAAAATTAAATACTAATAAAACAAGTAATATAATATTTATGGTATGACATAATAACTTAATAACTTAATAATATTAAGAAAATATAAACTTTATAATTTATTATCACTGATAAAAGGTAGTGTTACAATTGACCCCGAACTGTTCGTTACAATTGTCCCCGATTAGAATTTTTTTCTTTGAGCGCAAAAAGAAAAATAAATTTAATTTTTAGCTCCTTTATTATTTATGGATCATATTCTCTATAATCACCTGAATGGAAAAATATTCCACTTTAATAAATACATGTAAAATTCACGGAGAAAAATTGAAAATTACAAAAAAAAAAATAATCACTTTTTCTCGTTGATATCAGTTTTTATTATTTATCTGATAAACGAAACACGGTAACCCCTAACTGATAACATGCAAATAAGGCACATAGATGTGTGTAAATATTACACGTACACCCAATTTTTAATATTTGTCATCGAAAAAAATATTTAGCTTGTTACAATTGACCCGTGTTACTTTTGACCCCGGTCTCCCCTACTTCCTTTGTTTGTTTCAGTCAACATGAAATACTGAAATTTAAGTCTATAAATAATCTTGATATTTTACAGATGGTTTTTTTTTAATAGTTACTAAATATTAAATATTCATAATAATTTTTCTACATAATTAAAAAAAAAGGTACATTATTTCTGGATAATAATTTATGAAACAAACAAATGTATTTTTTGCACATATATTTACCTATACCTGCTTATCTAAAATTAAAGAAATAATTCATTTGTTTATTTTTTTAGATTTTATGCAAAGCTGAGAAGGTATTAATAAATAGGATTATGTCTGCATTGTCTTAATATGTTTCAGAAAATCAATATTAGTGTTCATGTACCGTACTTATATGGTGCAATAACCATATAAAAACCATGTGGTCTGGTTTTATGTTTGGGGGTTTGTGATAATATTGTGTAAAAAAAATAACTTTTTATAGTGTTTATTAACTAGACTTATTAACTGTTTATTGGAATTTGTCTCTAAGACTAAATTTAGCAAATAATTATAATAAATAATTATTTTACAGTTCTAGGATGCCATATAGAATATGGTTTAATAAAAACATCAATTATTATTTTGAATAAAAATAAAATTTTCTTTATACAAACATTATTTGACAACATTACATTGGATAAGTTAAGAATATAAAACTATTATGTTACAATTAAAAAAACATAAATAAAAAAATAATGGTATATCTTTATATAGCTAATTCTTGTTTTATGGCAGTGCTTAGTGATTAAAAAGTGTTTGCAAAAAAACAACTAAAAAAGTTCTGTCACTATTCATGACTAGTCTAGTAAAACTCTAGATTATTTCGTGTACCTAAGGGCATTCGCCCTCTCCTTAATCCGTCCTTGATAATAACTAAATAATAAAACTTAGTAAATTAAGTTTAGGCATCTATTTTTGTTGACGATTTATTGAATTTATCGCTTTTTGTCATTGCATACTGAAGTTTAGAAATAGTTTTGAAAATAAGTGTTGCTGAAAACACATTTTATTGAATATACATAAATAAGTGTTATATTGCTAACAAAAAAATTGGACAAAACGTAATAAAATCAACGGCAAATATATGATATCAATAAATATAATAAATTGTTAAACAAAGTATTAGTTTTAAAGTAAAACAATAATCGTATTAATACTTAACTCAATTTTTTCGTTTTAAACGTAATAATAATTAGTGATGAGAAATATCGAATAGTAACTATCAAACTATTCGATAGTTTTTTTAAATATTTGATAATTTATGCTAAAAATAAACTATTTTGTTGTATAAGAACAACTCGAATAAATATTCGATAGCTTAAAATATTAAAATATGCACATCACTAATAATAATCAACCATATTCAACAGTTCTAACATCTTCTCCTCACGCCTTTTAACATGATGTGTGATCCTATTGTGAATTCGAATAATAATAACATGACAATATATTTTTGATATTCTAAGTATTTAGGATTTTTGTGTTGTATAAAAATTGTATTACGACTAGAGTAAACTGTGTTCTTAATTGTTGAATGATGTTTATCAGTTGGTTGGGTATGTAATGTTAATGATTCAACTTAATTTACACATATTAACGTTATAGATACTAAGCAAATTAACCGTGAATCACATCAATCACACGTGTCATACATCAGAATACATACTTTTATTGAAAAAAAAGGAAAAAGTATCAATACAGTGACAGTAGAATGTGATAGTAACCTCCCGCCGCTTAAGAAATTTGGATGTATTCTAATATTTGAATATTAGTTTGGACTCCTGACAAGAGATATCGCATAAGCTTATGGAGTTAGATTGAATATTCTTAAATAATACACTTTTATTCTATGAAATACACTTTATTATATATATTTCTTTTCATATCAACAAACTTTATCTAATTGATGATTATAATTCTGACGAATTTAAACAAATATAAATTGGAATTCTAAAAATTACTTTAACTTAAAATGAAATACACGTCATTAATTTAATGTAGATTTTATTTGACAAAATTAATTTTGTTAGTATCCATTTTTTATTTACAAATTATGACAAACTAAATAGTATTAATATATGGCATTATGGCTATAGACCAGAATTTTTGGTTTATACATATTTTTGTCGCATTATGTAGCTCGTCAGAAGAGAAAATATCTATGATTAATTACTAAGATAACAGAAAAAAGTATTTTTCTTGTATATTTTAATATATTTTGGTGATTTCACTTATTTTTTAGTTACGATGCGTAATCGAGGAGCTATTTGTTTTACTCTAACGTACATATTTTTTTTGTTTCACATAACTCTTCTTCTACAGGATCGATTTTTCTCAAAGATACCTTAAAAGTTGAAAAAAAGTACCTAGTTCAAGCTAACAATACCAAATTTTTGAAAAAATCCCTTCAATCTTTATAATAAAGAGAAATGCCCCAAAAAACTACAATTTTCATAAAACAGTCAATAGTTGATATATATAGTTTTCAAATTATATTGAAATAACTTTTTTAAAAATGAACGGATAACTGTGAAATATTTATTGGCCATACTTTAGAAATATATCTTACCAAGAACATACTTTTTTTTTAAATTCTTAATTAATTAATTAAGGTACTGTGGGTTTTAAAAATCATATCAACATTTTTTTCTTTTTAACTTTTGATTAACGTGTCTTCTTTAACCTACTTCAAATTGAAAGTAACAGAATATATTTTAAAATGATAAATGACAATTAATACGAAAACTTGATCTCTTGAAAATCATACAATTTTCAGTAAAAATGATAAGTTTCGAAATTTTATGCATAACAGCGGAATATCTGTTACTCAAAACTAAATTAAATTATAGCTTATTTAAAGTGCAATATGATTAAAACAAGAAAAATGTTCTGACGACTTGTTTTCTATGATTTATTGGCTTTTAAAGGCAAAAATCATATTATTTTTGGTAGAGAAGTTAAATTTCTTATAAATTTGTCTTAAATATTTTACCAAATATTTTAAATATTGCCTATGTGAACACTATGTTCAAAGTACATCAAACATGTGTAGTTATACTACTTAGAAAATACAGATACCGTTTTGATGCCTGTATGTCTGTAGAAATTTAATTCTAATTAAAATAAATCACAATTTAACCGTTGTGTGCAAAATACTGTATGTCAATAAAAGATTATTTATTGGGCAGAAATCATATTAACTGGATCTGTTTTAATTTACCTGTTTCTGTTATGACTTATGGATTCATATTTATTATCTTAGACCACATACTTATATTTTCTTTTGAAGTCCTAGATCATCATTTAATTGTTAATATTATTTTTCTTTAACGTACTTCTGTTAATTTAGCCTGTATATTTTATTTATTAGTATGCTTTAAGTGTCCATTAAATTTTATTTTGTTATGATGATTAAAAAAAAAAAATTGAACTTATAATAATTAATAAATTTTAATCTTAAATTGAAACTTTTCTAGATAACCTTTTCCCCTAGGATAAGGTATAAAATCCCTGGTATTTCGGCTTTGCTTCGTCTCATGGTAGACCCTACTCGGAGTTCTTGTAAAGTTAAACTTTTGTATAATGAGTTTAGCTTACAAATGGCGACACTGACAGGACGCCACTTATTTAATTTTTGTTCTTTTATTTTTAGTCTTGGTTAATCTATATAGTCATTAACTATAAGTATTATGTAAATAATAAATAATTATCAAGATAAGTTTTTAATATACTTTTTCTCTTTGAG